TCTCTATCCAGAAATAATCTCTCCCAACTTGTAACACTTATAGCACATCTTTGCACCTCTCTGATGCAATTAGCAATTTTACTTAGTATTTAATTTATTTCTGCATGTCTTATCTCCCCCACAAAATCGTAATTCTTTGTGGGCAAAGACCCTATCTTATGCATTTTTGTATCAGTGCCTTGCACTCACTAAATATTAATTTAAAAATGAAGCAACAGTAAGCAGGAGTCCTGGGGTGGGCAGGGGGCAAAAAAAAAAATAGAGAGATAGAATGAGATCCTGTGACGGAAGGTATACCAGTTCAGTCTAGTTTGAGCAACTAACTGAAATTATAATTTGCAAATTTACTTCTTTCCTGCAAAGGACATTACCCTAATTTGAACTTGGGTTTCCTAAGCTACAGGTACCTGAGATTCAGGCAGCCCACACCAGTGACCTTTCTTCAAATTCTGTCCATCTTGCCATGATACAGTTCAGAGATGCCTGGGCCTGAAAACTCATCCACCGTCCTGGAGCCTAGAACCTTGGCCAGTGCCATGAGCTTGAAGCCCCAGTTTTTTCCCTTGTCCTGTTGCTTAGGCAACAAGGTTTCTCCATGCCTGCCTGCATCCTGTTGCCATGGTAACAGGCCAGAGAGAGCAGGCAGCCTTGAGTGCTCCAAGGTTTTCAGTAGCCAAGCTCTGACCGTGGGCTTATGGTTCTTCCTCTGCTGACTTCATTTATGCATATTTATACCTATCTGCATGCAGGTGTGTTTGGCATTTGTATTTAAAGGTGACTTAAATTCAATTTTTGCAGGTACAACTGCAGGACCATTGTGTGATCTCAGAATCGATGTAGTCGGCCTCTCATTAACAGCTGTTGCTGCTTTTTTCAGAGCTTTCCCTCATCATCTGCTCTGCCTATTTTTCTCATAATCTCTGTGCTAATTTTAGTTAAACTGAGCCAACTGATCTTTGCTTGCCTAGAACCAACTTAACTTATCTGAACAGTCAACAGGAAATTTCATCACCAGACCATGAAATCGGATGGTTCATTATTTCATTGTTTCTGGCATCATTGCGCTTTATGATCCTCAAATCTGATTTGATAATTTTCACTTTTAATGATATGCATAGCACTTTGGAATGCTTTGGAAAAGAGCTTGGCTTCCTTAAAGGCCCCTAAAGGAGTTAATTTTTCCATGGAATTAACTAGAAAATTAGAGTTAGAGGCCACTTGGTGGAGTGGACAGTGTACTGGAATGTGGAGTCACAAGATCCGAGTTCAGATCTTATGTGACCAAGGCAAGTCACAATGCCCCCTCTTTAAAATGAGGGGGTTGTTAGCTGGCAATAGCTAATATTTACATAATGTTTTAAGGTTTAAAAGCTTCTCTCTCTGTATCTCCCTCTCCCTCTCCCTCTCCCTTTTCCTCTCCCTTTTCCTCTCCCTCTCCCTCTCCCTCTCCATCTCCCTGTCTCTCTCTCTCTTCCTCTCCTTCTCCCTTTTCTTCTCCCTCTCCCTCTCCCTCTTTCTAAAATCTTTTGATGTTCACAGCAATTTTATGATGTAAGTGCTGTTATTGCCCCCATTTTACAGATGATGAAACTGAGGCAGTAGAGGTAGCGTGATCTCCCATGATCACAAGCTAGTGACTGTCAAAGGCAGGAGATGCAGGAGACTCCTTTCTCAGAATCAGAGGTCTTGAGCTAGAAGGAACTTTGGTGGCCTCTAGTTCAATAGCCTAGTTTTACAGATGAGGGAATGAAAGGCCAGTGAAGTAAAGTGATTCGCTCCAGGTCATACAGATAGTTAAGTATCAGAAATGAAATTTGAATGGAGGGCTTCTGTTTTCAAAGCCAGGGTCTTTCCACTGTATCATTGCCACCTTCTGACTCATAAACCCTTCATTCCATTCATTATACCATGAGCTGCCTCTAAGGAGTCTTCTACACTTGAGTGAAGCTTTTTATATTTCCACTTGCAAAAGAATTAGCTCAACAATTAGTCCATTTTCTGATCATTTAGCCCACAGGGGATTTTTTGAATTCTGAATTTTTATGGTTGGTTTTATCAAGTTTTAACCTCCTTAGCTAGTGACCCAATATATTTGAGCTGTATAATATGTTTGTAGTTAGTTGGAAGGCTTACACTAAGAAGAAATCCCTTGAAGCTAGGATTTTCTCCCCTCTTCTTTGGTCTCACAGGTCTGCAATGGAGCCAGTCTTTATCAGGTCACTTTAATTTTCTAAGCTTGGGTGGCTTATCTGTAATCTTGCTAATGAGTTGAGAGAGCAGGTCTTGGAGTTAGGAATTCCTACCTTTGACACATACCAGCTGGGTGACCCACCATGTCACTTCTCAATGCCCTCCCTGGTTGACTCTGTAAAAGCAGCATTGACTGATCTGCATTGGTGAATGCGGGTCAATCTACATCCAAGCTGTACTGGAGTTTCCTGGCTGAGAGTTCCCTAAATGAATGAAATCACAAGTCTTTTCCAAATCTCATTGAGTTGCCTTCTCCACTCCATTCTCAGACCAGGAAATGAGGTCAGATTCAATCACTTTGGGCCAAAGGCCATTCCTGATCTTCCAAAACAAATTTCTTTGAACGAATTGTTCTGGTCTGTGGCCCTGTGCACTCACACTTCTCCACCTGCTTGTCCTAGCATGTGGGGACTATTCACCACAGCCCTGATATATCGTTTGAGCTGAAAATACTGCAGTATTGTTTAAGAGCTGACCTTCTCCATCTTACCATGCTGTGTGTAGTTGAGTCCATCCCAGAATTAATGGTCAGCCTTACATTTTGACATTAAATGATGTTACTTTGAGTCACAATTAAACTCTCCTTTATTTTTAAATTCCGGGTGACTTAATTATCTTCTAATTAATATAATAAATGCACATCTTTGCTCATGTACTTTTCGTTGCAGTTTCTATTTGCAAATGATTGGAACCCAATTAAAAGTTGGCTGTAAAACTAAATTAGAAAACCACAATGGCTTCCATTAGCCACTCTCCAAACACTGTCCCTCTAAAAGACTATTCTTTAGGTAAGATTTCATAAAAGTTAGAAGTCCATGCTGAATTCCAGTCACCTAGCAAAAAGAAATTTTCAAAAGTGAAGTAATTATATATTATGTAAATAAATTATAAGTCAACAAAGTAATTGTATGTTGCATAAGTAAAAAACTAAGTAATTATTATGAAAAACAAAATCCCTAATCATCATTAAAGAATTTAAAATGATGTTTTGTTTGTATCAAACAAGTATTTGTAGTGTTGAAGTGAAATGTCAAGGCCAGAATTATCAGACTCACATGGAAAAATATTGAAATGCTAGCATCCTCTCATAGCATTGCTCAATGCCATGTAGTCAGTTAAGTAATAGTAGAAATTTGAACTTAGATTCTCTTGTCTCAAAAGCCCATGTCTAGAAAAAGGCAATAGACTTGAATGAAAAAATCATGGGGGTTCCTTCTCAGTACACTTGGTATGCACGGAGCAAACCTCCCCAAAGTAGAAGTTAAGGCTACTGGCAGCTTGTAAAATGGGAAGACAATCTGGAATGAAGGGTGAAAGAATTAGGGTAGGGTAGGGTGGGAGAACTGGGGGGAGGAATTGGCAACATGGAGCAATATTGACAGTACTGAGCTTTTGGAATAATTCAAGTCATGAGACCTAGGAAATCATTTATCTTACATGGTTTTTGGACATAGTGCAAATGAAAAGATATATTTCTAAAAAGAATGTATGTACTTTAAAATTTTAAAATGTGCTTCCTTAATTAAAAAAAAAGTCTTAAGAGATACACTGAAGTGTTTGTAATGCCATAATCTTTTTTGAATGAAATTTCTATTTTTATCTTTTGTTTTTACATCTCCTACATTTCCCAATGTCTCTTGGCTTCTGTCCCTCACAGAGAGTAATCATTTCTGATGAGGAATAAAAAAGAGGAAGAAAAACAGTTGAACAAAACTAAGCAACATATCAAAAAAGTCTGATGTTACATACAGTGTTCCATCCATACCCACAGTTCCCCAGCTCTGCAAAGAAGCAGAGAGAAGGGCTTTCTCTGTCTCTTCCTTGGTGCTACATTTCATCATTTAGTAGCATTTAATTTTAGTTGTTTTGTTTTTTTTTATTCTTCCTATTTACATTATTGTGGTCATTGGATACGTTGTTTCCTGATTCTGCTTTTCTTCACTTTGTATTGGTTCGGATGATTCTTCCCACACTTCTGTTTTCACCATAGTCATCATTTCTTACAGCACAGCCATATTCCATTACATTCTTATGCCATGGCATTTTTAGCCATTCCCTAATTGATGGGCATCTGGGGGCCTTTCTCTTTGTAATGACCTCCTTGGATTATATGTCTAACAGGGTAATGTTTGAGGCAAGTGCTTTGCACATTTTATTCACTTTCCCATAATTTCACATTGCATTCCAGAATGAATGAATGAATATGCTTCCTATATGACAAACATTGTGCTAAGTACCCTGGATACAAATATAAAACACAAGAGAGTCCCTGCCCTTACAGAACATACATTCACATATAAGGACATGTTGGCCAGGGAGGGGTGTTTTGTCTAAGAAGTCCCAGGGATGGTGAGTGGACTCAGGGCAGTTGAATGGCACACCTTTTCTAGGAGTGACAGTGTTGAGTTGATCATTATTCTCAGAGCCAGAAGTGGAAAGTGGGGTGGGGAAAAGGGTATCCTGAAGATGGCCGGGGGAGCAGCTGCGGCAGGGTGGGGCTGGGGTGGGGCTTGGGACGTGAGCACTTATTTACCAACCAGAAGCCTGGGGCAGGAGAGCTGGTGGGAGGGGCCTAGAATTGCTGGACAAAGCCTGAGCTCTTCCAAGGTTCCAAGATGTCACTTACCTAGCATACTGTGGCTTGTCAATGCTTCTGATGTGGGATGAGATTTTCTGCTTCTTATCTGGTAGAACTCTGTCCTATTCAGCTTTAGAATATCATGCTCATAAGTATTCATTCTTTTTCTCAGGGAATACTCCGGAGGAATAGGATCAAGGCCAAGACCAGGTAACTTAATACTGACATCAAATGATATGTACACATACATACATAAAATGTTTCAAGCCTCTAGTTGTGTTATAGTTTGATACCTTTCCTCCTTTTATTTCTCCAGCTCTGCTGCCTCTTGACCTGCTTCTGAAAGTGCCGTCACTCATGTTCAGGGCCCACGTTAAGAAACTAGAGGCCTCGTTAGGGACAGGGTGGCAGTCCAACAGCCTCCCAGCTGTGATTCTTCGCAATCTAAAAGATCATGGTAGTACTTATTAGATCATTTTGGTGTCGAGCAAACAGTAGGAAAACACAGAGTGATAGTTGGGCCAGAAGTATCTGAATGGTCCTTGAGATGTCATTTGAATGGGAACAGCGGGAAGACCTCATTATGTTTGTCCCTCCTTATGAGTACAGCCCTTCAGTCCATTCAAGTGCTTCCCGTGTTCACTTATTTGATGGGAAGATTACAGGCTATTTCTCCATAATTTGCATTTCTGTCTTGGGGCATTTAAGGGGAGGGAATGTTAACCAGCTGAATTATTGATATGTTAAAGGACACCTGCTAACCATGTGTTAGTTACATGTGTGGGTTTGACAAAACTCATACAACTGTTAGGAAAGGTCTCTTTTCTCATCTATTATTACCGTTCTAATGGATATAACTGGCCCTTTAAGATTTGAATAAAGCACACTATGTCCTCAGTAATTCAGGAATGTTAGGGTTCTCACTGATGTTTACATAGGGTCATTTATGATAATGATTTGGGTAGAAAAAACTATTTCCAAGTACTACAAAATAATGTCAAAAAGTCCCAAAATAAAAACAAGGGTTTTAGTGCAACCACAGAAGCTATGATTCTACCTTTAAGGTTTGAATCTCGGACCTAAAGTCTAAATTCCATTATTTGTATGGTACTTTATATTAATAAATAATTTTTGTATGTAAATATGTAAACAAACCTACAGAACTAAATTTATATACGTGCACATATAAATATATTTATGTTGTGTATATAAAATATATAAATACATATATACATTTTTATATATCATATAAATATATTTATATATGTTTTATATATAAATATAGAAACCTATTTATATATAAATGTATATCTATATATGTATACACACACACACACATTTCTCCAGATTTGTCCTTTTTATTCCCATTGGTGGAGTGAAAACAAAATGAACTTAAGATAGTTTCATATAAAATGCTACAAATATGAGTATAGACCATGATGTCAAGAACGGGTTGTGGGACAATTGATTTTATTTGAGGCTATCTTTACCATTAGCGATAGCTCAATAGAACAATTGGATTATGCTCTAAGTTACCATATCGATCACGATGTGGTTTCAGTGTTTTGAGATAAAGATCTAGGCATAACTCCATCACTAAGCTTTGCCTGGTGAGATGAAATTCAGTTTACCATTTGGCAAGCATTTATTAAGTACCTGCTGTGGGCCAGGCACTGTGCCATTGCTGTGGCTGTCAATGTTGGGGTAAGCCGATGGGGCAGGCTGCTGTGCTCTTACACAAAGACTAAATGAAAGAGTCTTTGCCTTTGTGGTCCTTACAAAGTATCAGAGTAAAACCACTTGTATGCTGTACACGGAATATGTACAAAGTAATGCAAGTTAATTGAGCGAGGGAAAGGAGGAAGGCATGCACAGCTGTCAGGTGGGGCACGGTGGGAAAGGCTTCATCTAGGATGTGGCCTTTTGGCTGCACTTTGCAGGAAGCTGGGGATTCTAGGAGGCAAAGGACAGCAGGCGTGGGACACAGCCAGAGATGGGAGATGGGGTGTGAAGAGGAGAAGTGTGTATGGTAGGACTGGAAGGACAGGGAGAGCCCACTTAGAAAGGGCTTTAAAGGGGAAACAAAGGGGTTTCCATTTGACCCTAGGGAGGTAATAAAGAGTCAGTGCAGTTTATTGAGCAGAGAAGTGACATGCTCAGACTTTTGCTTTATTTTTAAAATTTTTCTACTTAATAGTATTTTATTTTTTCCTATTAGATGTAAAGATAGTTTTCAACATTCACTTTTATAAGATTTTGAGTTCCAAATTTTTTTTTCTCCCTTCCTCCTCCCCAAGACAACAAACAATCTGATCTAGGCTATACATGTACAATCATGTTAAACATATTTACACTTTACTTATGTTGTGAAAAAAGAATCAGAACAAAAGGGAAAAACTATGAGAAAGAAGAACAAGCAAAAAAAGTGAAAATAGTCTGCTTCCATCTGCATTCAGACTCCGTAGCTCTTTCTCTGGATGTGGACAGCATTTTCCATCATGAGTCATTTGGAGTTCAGACCTTTGCTTTACTAAAACTGCTTTGCAGCTACATGGGTGATGGATTGGAGAGGAGAGAGAGGCCAGGAGACCAATTAGGAAGTTACTGAGATGTTTATATACATTTGTATAGCCCTTACTATGTGCCAGGCACTGACTGTGCTAAGCACTTCACAATTATGGTCCCATATGATTCTCACAACCACCCTGCAAGGTAGGGGCTGTTATTATCCCCATTTTACAGAAGAAGAAACTGAGGAAAGCAGAGGTGAAGTGATTTGCCCAGGATCATAGAACTAGTAAGTATCTGAAGCTGGATTTGAACTCGGGTCTTCCCTGACTCTAAGCCCAGAGCTCTATCCACTGAGCCATCTGACTGCCTAAGGCAAGAGGTAATGACTACTTGAGCTAGGCTGCTGGTCATATGAAAAGGGAGGTCATATGGTGTCAGGAAGGCCACGAAGGTAGATTCCACAATGCATGGTACCTGATTGGATACGTGGGCCAAGTGGGAGGGAGGAGAAGAGGATTCTGAGGCTGGAACCTGGGTGGCGACAGATGGCGACTGATTGTCGGCTGTGATTTGATAGCCAACGGAGAAAGAGAACAACTCAGAGATCTATTATGCACACACAGACACATAAGCAGTCAATAATTCTGTGTCCAATTGATGTACAACAGAATCATCAGATTGTTCTCCCGAGACATATGCTGTTAGTCAAAGAGTAGATGGTATTCTTATTTCAATGAAATATGGAGATATCTTCTCTTGAGCCTTTAATCAAATCATTTACATTCTAGAGTCATTCTCATTTAATCCATTATCATCCTTAAGGCCCAAATCCTTAAATTATATAATACTTAACACTGAAATGAGAGAATATTTATAAAATGATTCGTACAATGCCTGGAACACAGTAGGCACTTAATATATGCTTCCCCCTTTTGTTTTGATTTTCTTTAATGTAGTTTCTTTTTTAAAAAAAGTTAGATATAGGATATCTTATTTGGACTTTTCTTTTCATCCCTGATGCTTAGCACAGTGCCCAACACATAGTAGGTGCTTAATACATGCGCGTTTGCTGACGTTAATACTTTAAAAGTTGATGGTGAGCAGCAATGCGTATTGACATAAACACTTCTTATCCTTTTTTTTTTGTGCTGTTTACTGTTGAACTGACTTCATTTATGGAGGAGAAAATGCAGCAACAATGACTCACAAGTTGAATCACAGAGAAACTTGACATTTTTCTTGTAGCTCACTGGTCCTGAGGATGGCTGAGGCAACCTAAATTTCAAAAGATCCAGGTTAAAATCTAAGAAGGTGTAAGTGTCGTAGTTATGATGTTGAAGGTTCTTGTAGGTAGATTTAACAGATGCCTCAGCACTTTGGGACTCTTTTGGTGACTTCTTTTGTTTTTCCTTTCCATTGCCTCCTGATTTTGCACAGAGAAAAGCTGTGGAAGTAAATTCTTGGAGCCTCCATGCTTTTAGTTGTATGGTCTTCAGTACTGCCCCTGGGCCCAGTCCCAGGACAGAGGAAAAGGCCGTGGCAGTAGGGGAGGGGGGAACTCTAGGCGAGGTTAACTGGCCCAGAGGACACCGGCTGGCCACCTCCAGAGCTATACCTCGAGCTCGCGTCCCTTTACCTAGGTGCGAACGTGACTGGCCAATCCGAACCAACACTTCTTACGCTTGATATCTTGATTCTGGTATGACTCCGTGGTGGATGTGTTTATACCTTTGCTTTTTTTTTTTTTATCATTGAGATAGATAAAAGTGACGCAGTCTTAGTTTCCCTGCCTGCTTGTTAGCCCACAGGATCCGAGTGGCCCTGTCTACACAGGCTTCTGCCTGCTCTTTCTCGCTCTACCTAATATTCATAACTAGTATTACTCCCTATGTGTAACTAATCTGGGCAGCTAGGTGGTGTAATGGATGGAGCACCACGCCTGGGGTCAGGACCAGAGTTCAATCCAGCCTCAGACACATACTAGCTGTGTGACCCTGGGCAAATCACCTAACCCTGTTTGCCTCAGTTTCCTCATCTGTAAAATGAGCTGGAGAAGGAAATGGCAAACCCTCCAGGATCTTTGCCAAGAAAACCCCAAATGGGGCCACAGAGAGTCAGACGTGCCTGAAATGGCTCAACAGCGGCAAATGTGACTAAAAGGAGCCCGCGTGTCTGTGCTGGTGAAAGAAACAGTCTACCGCTCTAATACGTGAAATTCCTTGTATGGCAATTCCACGTTCTGCCCCATTCAAGAGGGCTTGGTTCCTGGAGCACCAGCATGAAACTGTTACATGTGGTCTCCAGGTTGTGCTCAAAGCGATGGAGCCAGAAGGGGCCTTAGGGGGTCTTTTACAAGTGAGACGCTGACAGTCCCGAGCGTGGAAGAGGCTTGGATGAGGAAACGGTTCTCGGTAGCGAGCCTCTGAGTTGCATTTGAACTCGGGTCTCTTCACTCCAAATCGAAGGGGTTTTGCCCACCATAGCACAATGCAGTGGAAATATCCTTGGACTTGGGCTTGGCAGAGACCCCGGTTCCTTCAAGGCCTACCTCGGACACTTGGACTGTGAGTGAGTCACAACCTCTCCAGATGATATCTAGTTCGTCAGAGGGGGATGATGCACCTGGAGCGTCGATGGCACAGTGTTGTCTTAGATGGAGAGAGTGCTGCACCTGGACTCCTGGTGACCTGGCTTAGACTCTTGCCTCTGGCACTCTCTGGCTGTATGACTGTAGTCAGCTTTGGGCCTCAGTTTGTTTATCTATGAAATGGTGAGGGTCATCCTTGTGGCACCTGCCTCCCAGTGTTATGACACCAAAATGAGACAGTGTAGATAAGGCTTTGCAAACCTTGAAGCTCAATGTGAAGGTCAGCTGTTACTATTAGACTAATATTAGAGCATTCATTACTCCACTAAATAACTTTAGGTATGACTTAAACTTTTCCA